CTACCCCAGTGCCATTGTCATAACACTGACCAAGATTATGTTGTGCTGAAGCATAACCTTGTTCAGCTGCTCTTTGATACCATTCCACTGCCTTTTGGTTATCCTTTTTTACTCCAGTTCCATCCTCATAACACCAACCAAGACTATGTTGTGCTGAGGCATAACCTTGTTCAGCTGCTTGCTGATACCATTTAAATGCTTTCTTTTCATCTTTATCTACTCCATTCCCACTTTTATAACAATAAGCAAGATTACTTTGTGATGAAGCAAGACCTTGTTCAGCTGCTTGTTTATACCATTTAACTGCCTCTTGTTGGTTCTTTTCTACTCCAGATCCATAATCATAACACCAACCAAGATTATTTTGTGATTCAACATTACCTTGTTTGGCTGCTTTTTGATACCATTCAACTGCTTTTTGTTCATTTTTGTCTATGCCAATTCCTTTTTGATAACACACACCAAGATTATGTTGTGCTAAATCATAGCCTTGTATAGCCGCTTGTTGATACCATTCAACTGCCTTTTGTTCATCTTTCTCTACCCCAGTTCCATGCTGATAACACACACCAAGATTAGATTGTGAACTAGCATCACCTTGTTCAGCTGCTTTTTGAAACCATTCAACTGCCTTTTGTTCATTTTTGTCTACTCCGATTCCATCCTGATAACACCAACCAAGATTATATTGTGCTAAAGCAAAACCTTGTTCAGCTGCTTGTTGATACCATTCGAATGCCTTTTGTTCGTCCTTTTCTATTCCAATTCCAAATCTATAACACTGACCAAGACCATGTTGTGCATAAACATGGCCTTGTTCAGCTGCTTGTTGATACCATTCAACTGCCTTTTTTATATCTTTCTCTATCCCCAATCCTTTTTGATAAGACGTACCAAGATTATTTTGAGCATGAAGATGACCCTGTCTGGCTGCTTTTTGATACCATTCAAACGCTTTCCGTTCATCCTTGTCTACTCCAGTTCCACTGAAGTAAAGCCAACCAAGGCTAAATTGTGCCTCAGCACATCCTCGCTCTGCTGCTTGTTGATACTCTTCAACTGTGATCTGTCGTCTATCTTCTATTCCAATTCTATTAGCATGATACAAACTAAAGAGAAAGTTTAAGATGAAAGAAGCCATGTTGGTTGTAATTGTGAATAGAGTTAAGGTAGAGAGTTAAGGTAGAGAGTTAAGGTAGAGAGTTAAGGTAGAGAGAGTTAAAGTAGAGAGAGTTAAGGTAGAGAGAGTTAAGATAGAGAGTTTAAAGGTAGAACGCTATTACTAACGCGACGCGTTTTGTACGTTTAGTAATAGTAACGCTCGCACAATCAACCGATTCAACTACCGCAGATGTGACGTCATCTTGTACAACAATCGAAACACGTATAATCTCCCGTCTATACTTTTTAGTTAATATAGTGACGTGACCAGCTTAACTACTCACCTTGTGTCGATCGTAGACGCTAATCCCTCGACTATTCCCTTTCGATGGGATTAATTTGGAAGCTTATATATAGGTTGAGGTATACTTGTATCTACCTAAACGTACGTCTCATATTAAGTAAATAACAATCGTAATGCCACAAGAAGCGAATATTCCTAATCGATATAGGATTGATGGTTCACAACTATATCAAATATTTACCAGAGACCGAATCATAAATAATATATTTCAGAGTACAAAGACCTACTCATTTATTAGAAAGCTTAATTCTGTTGGAAAGTACATCTAATCGAACTGCTGCTTTCGCCTATTTTTAACTAGGTGTACTACTGCCCCGTACGACTGCTTCTGATAACAACTTTAGGACTGCCATCGTTATATCTATTGCGGATATTATAAACTTTATAGTAAGTTGGGAAATTCTCTTTTATTTTGATGTACCAGCACAGCTACATGTATTGCTCCTAGTATGCCCGATAGGCCAAAGGGTGAAAGAACAGCATATAGGGCAGCAAATGCGAGATAATTATCAAAAACAGGTATTTGTGTAGTCTCGTAGTTCAGCATAAAATCAATACATCAGGTTTATTATTTTTTAACATGTATCGGAAAATAAAATAATTGTATGCCAAAGCCTGATGCCATAACTTAATTTTTTTCAACAATTCACTATGTTCATTATTAGTATTAAGTTCTATGTTTATTCTTATGCTCATTAATTAAAAATGTGGTTAACCCATTTGAAATCGAAGTATAAGGTGAATTACACGAAAGCTATCATAATGCTTTGCGAGAGAATAGGCAGTTTCTATTTAAAAGTATGATACCATTTATATAAAGACAAGTGCAGTTATTCACTCAATAAACTCAAAGATTGGGTCATGCAGATTACGTTAGAAATTTTTGAAATACGTGTTCAGACGATGGATATTATAAAGATGAAAGAGGATTGTGTCTACTCCTTTATATACAGATTATTGTGATAATACAAGGTTAACGCTTTTTCCTTTTACAATAAACTATAGCGTTTGACCTGACGGATTATTTTAAATAGATATATACTGCATATATCCTATCATAGAGTCTTGTATTCGAATTTAGAATTCGCATAGCTCTTGTTGCTTGCACAGAGTAATATTTGAAGGAAAACCAGCAACTGGAATAGTGCGAACCGAACCAATTGAATTAAAACGGACCATTTCCTTCATAATTGACAACAGAGCCCACCTCATTATTACGCATGTTTGTTTCCATATCAATCTCAACAATTCCACATTTATCAATAGCATAATAAAAGCTCTTTCTTGGTGCAATCGGTGATTTGGTTATTTTAACTCTTTTCGCATTGTTTGTCGCGTCGCCTTGGCCTATTCCACTGACACCATTATCAAAACATTCAAGCGTCAACTGTGTCGTGATAGAATGCGCCCATCCACTGCCTAGTACTGAAGTCACATGGTACGAGTTATTTGTTTCTTCAAAGAAACCATTCGGATAGAAATATATGTGTTAGAATGTAGGCTACAGTTGCCTAATCTTAGCGCACGATGGGTGAAAGCATTCAGAAGTACAAGCAGTCACGTAAAATCTTTACCTCGTGTACATACTCTTTTCCGTACATTGCTACTGGTGCTTATCATATTAGGCCTGCTGTACCTTATCACTTGATTCGTTACGACTACGGCCATACGAAATGATTCGGCCAAAAATCTAGAATATAACAAATTCTTATCTTAGAACACCAAAATTGTACTTGCACACGTATCAACCCTCACAAAAAACAAGACAAATCCAAGCATCTTTTTCATACTTTAACATGGCAGATTCCCGTATTAACATGTCACTACGCCCCATCAAACTCGGACTGCTATATCGGTCTTTCATCTCGTTTGTCATATTATTGAATTCTTTCCTAACAATGTATCCAACCGAATCGAACAAAACGAGACGAATTTTATGCGTAATTATTAACTCCTGGAGTCCTTCTAAGCTGTAATAAATCAATGCGCGTTAACGGAAGAAATCAAAGAATAAGAAATAATCACTGAGCGCTATCCACCTTTGTAATACTTCTTGAGTTGATTTAGCATTCATTATATGAACATTTTGGGTCATTCTGAGTAGGTTCGATTTGCCTTCAGGTGTTAATGGGTTGAAATAATCAGGGAAACGATTGCTCGCTATTTCCACAAGTCTAAATGCAAAAAGTCGAACATCAAAAACTTGACATTAGCTCCATTCTCCATAACAATGCTCCTCACTTTTCGTGCTTTACGTAATTTCTCACCTGTCAACATCTAAAGTTCCCTCGGTATCGATAAAACAAACACTTCCACCCAAGCCCCCCTTTTCACACGGCATCGTGGCGATTACCGACATTGTCATGCAAAATTGCGTTTTGCCTGACCTTGAAGGCCCTACAATTTCGGTCACTGACGAAAAAGGTATCCCTCCATTAAGTGCAGCGTCCAGATGCGGAATACATGTTGTGAAGAATGGTGGAGTAAACGAGATTGAGGAAAGAAGGGAAAGGACCTAGAAATACTAGCGCGGGTATAAGGAAATCAAAGAGTAGGCACATAAAAATTATGTGCACGAGGCAAGACGAGAAGAAAATTTGTAAGTAATAATTAATACAGTAGCATGGCAAACACATAGGAACTTCAGCCAAACTGCTTTTTGAGTCGTCTTCCCCGTTAAAATAAAGTTCGTGTTATATAGACGGATGTCTCCATTTAGGGAGCCAACCCTAACCAGACTTTCGAGCCATAAGAGTATATTTACCGTAACACTCTTTGGCACAATCCATCTAGAGACTTTTCTCTTAATGTCCTCAACGACTTCACCATCCAAATCACAATTCTCTACCAGCTCAATTTTCGACTTTTCTAATAATTCCTTTGTTGTACGTATTCCTCCGTTCGGGTACAAGGCCAATTTCGCAAGTTGACCGGCAGTGAGAGCTAAATGTGGTGGCATGCGCGCAAGTCTGCGGTTCGAGGTCATAGTCGCCAGTAAATTAGTTAAGTAATAGAGACGAGAGAATTGACAGCTATAAGCACGCGTTTATGGTTACACGTATTTCACGTGATCAATTACTATCAAAGATGAAATTAATATTAATCAATTTGCAAGAGTAAGAGTCTTCTCCCTACATAAAATCACCTCTCGATAGTTCGAGATGGATCTGAATTCGTAATTCGAGTTCTTACCGCATGTTAGCACGTACTGTATTTCATGATAATGATTTTCGGATAACCAGACAATTTCTAGTTTTCATACATTAATTTGCGCGCCTTTCATGTTATAAAATTTGCATACAAACTATTCGATCGTTACTATTTAGATCAATTATCGTGTTTGCAAAGGGTAAATATCAGTAAAAAAAATATTACTGTTAATAAACTATCGGAAGATTACGAAGAGTGCCCGATTTGTGAGGTTAGGAAAAATCAAATCAATGACGAAAAAAGCAAGTCAGGATTTCGTGCTCTATATTTCACTAGAGGTAATTCTCGAACAAGTGGCCGGATCATGCACACACATTCGATCCCATCATTCATACACTCTACTCTTCTTAACCAACTCGGCCACTAGGGATCGCATCATCTTCCTTGTGAAAGAAGCAGGCGGAATATCATTTGGTGCGAGAATTAAATCAGTCAGCGGAGAGAATGCTTCCGGATTAATATTAAGAAGCCGCCGAGTCAAGTGGTCTGTTATTGCAACTACATATACACCGCAGTCTGCGTGGCAATAAGATTTGAATTAGTAAATAGGCTGGCGTCGTTACTGGGGATAAAAAGGTTACTGGGCCATGATTAAGAGTACCTGATCCTGTTTTACATCAAGAGATCGTTAATTTTAATCGAATACAAAACTTTTGCCTGTGCTTCGTATTAACATGCTTACCGTTTTCTTGCTGTGGAGTGTGCATCCCAATCACTTCATAATCTGATCGCAGACAACAACGTTCAGTAACAAAATTCAGCATACAATTAAAAGTCAATCTGGCCTCACCTTTGATTCCAATTCTCTTTGCTACTTTCTTTGCTGTCCTTCTAGCATATGACATGTTCATTGGTCCGGCAGAATCGTAATGGAGAAACTTATTGACCGACTTTGCATATACTAATAATGACCAGTGCGATCCTCCTCCCGCAAGTTCAGGATTGGTATTATTACTGTAACCGAAAGCGTACATTACATGAGTTTAGTAAGTTTCAAGAATAGAACATCGCTTTCTTTAAACCGTAAGCGTAAGGTGAACCTTATCAACAATGAACAGCTTGTAATACGAACTTGACGGGCGAGAATATGACATCCGATCCAGCTAGCTGAGCTGGTATAGCTGAGGATAGGTCTGATTCATCTGTCAACATGATGGAATGGTCGGTGACATTGTTAAACATCAAGGATAAGCATGTCCGATTATTGACTACCTGGTGCGATGGTAATTAGAAAGGTAATGGCTGGACGTAATAAGAATACCTGGAGAATGGATGAACCTCTAGTTGATAGAAGTTTCGTACGTTCTAAATATCTATAGATTATAAAGTGAAATTATCGAAAATTTACATTAATGTTACCAATGTCTGGATTAGCAAGGTAACTCTACTTAATACTTACTCCATATAGAACTCGATGCAAGTATCATTGAGCCATTGATCATCATAAAGAAAATGTACGTCCTGCAAAACGCAAAAAGCCAATTGTTTTACTCGTAATCTTACATAATGGCACACCGTTAGATGTCATTACGCACCTCTTCATAAAGCATGACATCATAATATTGCAGAATCATCTTTAATTCGGTCCCGGGCTTTTGAGTGCCGTCGAAAAATTCTAAATCACGAAGAACGTAACACACTTAATATTTCGGGGGTTCAAATTTGCAGTTTTGCCACGTTCTACAAATGTGGATGATTTTTCAGCATCTATAAATTTCCTGTGCGGTTTATATTCTCACGTGTTAGTTTTCCTTTTATATTTAGGCGGTCGAATAAAACGAATGCTCGCGGATCGCTACTACTACACAAAAGGGTCGTCCGAAATTTTTAAAAAACTTTCTATTCTCCTTCATCTGTTCTATCATTCTTACAGATTAGTTCTCTCTATGCCCTCCAATATAAAAGCCATATGGCTTTGAAGCTAGGTAGCTTATACCATACAACATCCACCAGCATCATACAATTCGAATAATAAATCTCTTTCGGACTTGCGGCCGAATGGACGATTACAATCAAAAATATGGATCTCATAATTATTTATTTATACTGGCAAACAGACATTTTTGCAAAGATGACATAAACTATACACAAGTAACAAAAGACCGAGTAAAGAAATACCAACGAGAACACATTCAATAGCGTAGTTTTACTGTATTATAGAACCGCTATCGCCTCGCCGAAAAAAGAAAATATTAGATTCGAATTATTACCTGTTTTTCTATAAATCACCCGCAAGAATTTCTCTGTTTATAAAATGGCCTTTTTTTCCATGTATGCATCTCACTCGAATTGTTTATGACTGGAATAAAATAATATAGTAAGGCCAATTACACCTTAATATTGCTCAGACAGATAAGCAAAATGTTTCTCTTCAAAAATACTTTGCAGAGCATTGGAAAAGAGTTTTATTTCTGAAAACATTGGAACAATAGTAACAAACTAATTGCGTAAATAGTGCTAATGAAGAATAATGAAGCAATAAAAGAATGGTATAAGGAAAATGGAAACGTCTAAATAAAAATTATATTATAACTATTAATAAAGCTTGGAAACATCTATTTCCAAAAAAGGCTTTACGTTCTAACACTTCAACGCTTGTATTGACAACAAGTCCATTCTGGAGATAAAAACTATGCTACATCCGAATGCTTATACAAATTAGGAAACTACGATAAATTTGAGTCATACTCGTACAGTTTTATAACTAAATTAGTCGACGCGATTATCTTATAAGAAAAGTCTGTTATTAAAGTGTCTTGTATTAAGGCGTTGGGCTGCGCTATTTATGTGTCAATAGTGTGTTTAATTGTTTATATTAAATAAAAGACTACGATCAGTAGTGAAATAAATATAATTCATAAATTAAATTACAAAACGGCTGAGAAAAATTCGGGAATGTTTCTAATTGACGAATTAAAATAATATTAATATTGCCCTTCTTAATTATGCTCCTTCGATTAGAGAATTATATCAATTGTTGTTCTGGTATAGTTTTTTCTCTTGTTCGAAAGTTCTAGCGGCAGGACTATTGCTGAAAAAGTCGTTTCTTTTAGACAGGATTAAGTTAAGATTAAATTACTCTGTAATATGTAAGAGAGTGCTTAATAATAGGTTAGTAACCGCGGGTAGTAAATGTGTATTCCAGCGATAGAAATACTGTACATACGTAGCCGCCTTCGACATTAGCTGATGTCTTAATTGAAGCGAGCATGTTAGCAAGACCGTATTAGCGCTAAATTGAGAATATCTCCCGGTCACTAATTGAACACAACTCTCTTCCCAGGCGACCGTACATGGCAATTGCTGGTCATAATATTTATTATGTAAAAACGCGGTTTTCCGATTTCAAAGACAAAGACCTTTCCAGGCTGCAAAAAATACAAAGGATGAGCACACCAAAAAAATCAATAATAAGTTTATTTTATTATAATATAAGCTTATAGCTGTTACGTTTCTAATTCTTTCGTAATCATCAGAATTAGAAGGAAGGGACAATACTCCTTGCACCGATGGCTGTTAGACTACGTGTATTTTCTTTTATTTGTCGATTCTTGCTTGGTTTATCATATCTTGCTGTTAATGATTGTTTATTTCTCGTTATCGTGGGTAAATTTTTTGTCTAGATGTTTCTGGAGAATTTTGATACCATTATTTTAAACACAGAGAAAGCACTTTTTCCTTCTTAAGCTTTCTTTCTGATTAGGCTGTAATTTTTGGTTTCTATGTAAATTAGCTTTACATGTGATTTTTTTATAGACAAAATTCCATTATGATAATATTGAGGTAAGCAAAAGAAAACTCCTAATCTTTTGTGGATGCTATGTGCACCAGTCTGTCTTTTTTGCAGCACGCTCCAAGTTGTAGTCACCTCGTTTTAGATGTATATATTAATGCCATCATTATCTCTCCTAATGCTATTTTAGATGCTAACATTTGGGGTGCTATCGTTGAGAGATGCTTAGCTTTTATTTTGAGTATCGATGAATGAGTAAAATGATGGTAATTGCAACGCCTGTTAAATAATAACACCATTAAGCGTACCGACCTCTTGAGTAATTTCAAGTCTCTATCTCTTTCTATTGTTTGTTTATTTGCTTGTTAATTGATACGTTTTGCTGTAATTCAAAGTGTTGCTACCTACGGGGTCTGTATAGAGGTTTAAAGATTTACAAGCCTTCCTGTAATCAAACAAAGACAAGCAGCTTCCATCCTTGAAGAACGTAATGATATAATCACTTTTTCACATGAATTTGTTTGCTTTAAAATTAGCTTTTCTATAACAACTAGACAAAGTTCCAAGGAAAAGCGAGAACATAACCAATAAAAGTATCAAGAAAACTGACCGTGCACTGGAAATAAATAGTGTGTTCGCGTTTTTCTCCAAAGAATAAGGACCCAATGTAAGTTAGTCTGTAGTACAAGTACTGTATATTGTAAGGGCCTCATCTACTTCTGCCACATGTGATTTATACTTTACTTGTCATTATTAAGCTTATTTTGCACGTTGATTAGTCATTTGTTACCGATTAACGTCTTCGTGCTAAGCCTCGACAATAAAACTACCTTAACTGTTCCACAATTAGACCCTATTCTGAATCCCTTGCATTAGTACAGTTAATTTAATATCAGATAAGCAAGGGAAAAAGGATTTAAACCAATTATGAATTGTTTTGATTATTCATCGTCATGCAGAGTAACTTTGGTGTTCTGTTTGTATTCTCTCTTCACAGCCGCATACGGCAGGGAAGACTGTGCATTAACAGCTGACAGCACGCGCACAGCACGGCACAGCACGGCACAGCGTGGCACAGTACGGCACACATGGGGTCGAGTGAATTTGTAAAACTTGTCAATTTCATACACATGTCGTGTTCAGGGTTTGAAATGTACGACCATCTACGCGTGTTGTGGCGTCGTAATAGTCAAGTAATCACATGGACAACCCTAGACACAAATGCATACATACATTATTATTATTATTACTAATACCGTTTGAAGTATCAATTACAGTGTATACGAAGCACTATAATAAACCATCATTTATTATTATCCCCCATTTAAACACAATATACTATTCTCAGCCACTTATTTTTCGCGGACATTGGTAAAAGTATCTATCCTCTCTACTCCTTGTCCGAAACCAATTACTCATTCTCTGGCAAAACGCCATTCATGAATTCCAAAACCGTGTCGACGAGTTCGGGAAACTCTCCACTGCCCGTAAAATGGCCACGATCTGTAAACTCGCGGTAGTGCGATTTAATTTGATTATGAACGTGCCTTTGTTCGGCGATTGGAACCGAGTAGTCATCACTGCTGCTGAATTGAGTTATCCATTTTGCGTTCTGCGATATTTTTGACCAATCCCAAGGTCTGGAAAAATATCCTGCTGCACGCTAGCAGGTTCGGTCAACAGATCAATGGTAAAAGATAAATCAACGCCATTAGAATGTAGTATGCGAAATCTACGTATTTCTGCGTATACGGTACATGCATAGAGTGCTGAATAAGATGGACACAATTTAGCCTACCTCGTTAGGTTCGTCAAGATCCGTATGATAAGCAGATACAAGAGCCACACCCAAGACACGATGAGACTCGAGGTATCTGATGAGCAGCGAAAAACAAAGCCACACATCCACAGTCACATCCACAGCCCCACGAACAAGTCACAAATAATGATAAGCCGAACAGTTTACAAATATGGAATAATCAGTTTACTGGTTAGCATAATAATTAAGAGTCAATATTGTTATTAAAGTTTACCTGAGCGCCGCCACAGCCCCGGTAGAATGTCCAATCAACACATGCTCAGCTCCTGCATTCAAAGTCTTCTCCTAAGCCACAAAAAAATTTTAAACTCGGGTCAAAGCGCATGTGACCATAAATAAATTACATTGTCCCGTCGTACCAGGAAAGGCATCCAAATAGTTTCTCTTCCGACGTAAAAATCTGGAAACTGTCTCAACACAACCCCACCTGGAAACAGCTTCTCACGTGTTTCACAGTGAATAGCACTGCGTAGCTTTGATGCTACATACGGATACCATATGGCCGATTCTGGATGTTCACATCCGTTGCCGGGGAGAATGATTACTTGCGGCAGTGTCGAGGAGGAGGAAGAAGTATCCATTTCGAAAGGTGAGAAAATGCTGATCGATCAGGGTTATTTAGTAGTTTATATGTATTAAACAGTTTTTGGTTAGCTTGGAAATAAATTTTTTTCGCTCTAACCAAAAAGTCATTTGCTCGTTTTGGTTTGATTTTAAACGCTTGAGGCTTGCGTCGCATTGTTTACATGCAATTGTCTTGATAACATTGTCTTGCTGTTCAATACACAACAATCGCTCTCCTCCCCTCCCCTCTCCAATCTGCAACCCAAGCCGCATTAGAGAAACTCTTGCAAATAATAAGTTAAGACAGCCAGATTCTAGACACTTTTTATTGAATGTATGGCTTCCCGTGTTCTCTAAACGTTTCACATTCTACTCTCTTCGCCACGGTCTCGGAAGAAATATATACAAGATAAAAAATCATTGGAGCAAAATATACAAAAAAGACAAACAATGAACGGAAAAAGAAACTGTAAAAAGAAAATATAATACAATAAATGAAGTGCAAAAATAAAAAAATGAAAAACCTCGCTTTTGACATTGCTTTGTATATCGACAAGTATAAAAATAGTGGAGAGGGGAGAAGGGTTGAAAAGAAAAGAAAAAGTGTACAAAGTAAACACAAGGTCATGAAAGTATATATAGATATATAGATATCAAGCAAAAAAAATAAACAAAGAATTTTGACAAGAGAAGAAGAAGACAAAAAGTAAATGATAAGAATAATGATAATTTTGTATGTTGTTTTTTTGTTGTTTTTTTTTTAATATGAAAATGGAAAATCGATTGCTCCAACTTTTTTTTTCAAACAGGAATGTAAAAAAAAAAAAGGAAAAGGAAAAGGAAAAAGGAAACGCAAAATCCGTTAACAGGATCGTAAAGATACAGACAGTGTAACTTAGAAAACTACGGACACCCCCTTCTATTTATAAAGGTTAACTACGCAACATCGCGCATCCACAAACACGTATACAAACGCGCTTGCATATACAACAGAACCATTTTTCGCATCTCTTACATTCCACCAGTCTTGAACTTTCCGTTGCCGACCCCATTCACATTAGCTTGAGCACATTGTGTAGCGTTATCGCTTCTCAAATGCCTGTTTAGAGCATCTAATCTGGCAAAGGCGCGCCCGCAATTCTGACAAACGTGTGGTTTTAAACCCAGATGCAATTTTTGATGTCTTTTCAGATCATGCTGTCGAGCAAAGGCACGAGGACAACCCGAATAGTTGCATACGAATGGCCGCTCATCGGTGTGAGTACGAAGATGAGACTTGAGATTGTATTGGCGGGTAAATGTCTTTGGACAGTTTTCATGAGGGCACGCAAATGGTGCTATGGGTTTAGATGGCTTGCGCATTCTTTGAGTGGGTGGAAGCGATTGAGGGTGATGTCCTTGCTGCGCTGTTTGCTGTTGTTGCTGCTGTTGTGCTGGCTGCTGCTGCTGCTGTTGTTGCTGTTGACCTTGTTGCTGTTGACCTTGTTGTTGTTGGCCCTGTTGCTGCTGCTGCTGCTGCTGTTGTTGTTGTTGTTGTTGTTGTTGTTGTTGTTGTTGTTGTTGTTGTTGTTGTTGCTGTTGCTGTTGCTGTTGCTGTTGTTGTTGTTGTTGCTGTTGGCCTTGTTGCTCGCCAGAAATCGAGCAAATGCTGCTACTATGAAACATCGACCCAAACTCACTAGGCAGCGATTTTCGTCTCTTTTCCATAGTTTCTTCGCTGTCTTCTTCCCATCGTTGCCTCTCTCTCTTCAAATCAAGTTTTCTGAGAAATGCATCGTCGAATGATCTTCTTCTGTCATATTCGTTCAAGCCTTCAAATCCCCTTGCGAAATCACGTGTGTAAGCGGGCTTAGAACCGAAAGAAAATACTGCAGTGGCTTCGTTTTTATCGTGCGGCAGTGGTGGCGATGTTAATAGGCTCATGAAGGATGGATTGCTATCGGTGTGAAGCGGTGATGTTGGGAAGCAAGAATGAAGGGGGGATGTAAGTGGTGTCGTGGCTGAGGTTAAGCAAAGGAGGGGAGGGGTGAGAGAGAGTTTGTATAAAAGAGTTGGGTTGAGGAGGAGGCGGTTGGATAGATTGAAAGAAGGAAAGGTGGAGGATATAGATAGACAGAAGGGAAAAAAAAGAGTTAGAATTGATCAATTAGTATAGAAATGAAAAATTAATTGGAGTAACTGTTGTATGTATTTCGCTCTCGTAGATTGGAGAAGGAAGAGTAGAGGGGAGAGAGAGACAAATAGCTACACAGTTCACTATATACTTTACTATATATAAACATAAGACTCTTTTCTTTTTTTTTTTTTACAACAAAAAAAACCATTTCGAAAAAATTCAAAAAGAGGACTATTTTTGAACCAGGACCCCTGTTTACTACTCACTCATAGGCTTAGGTGACCCCCTCTCCCACGTCATTCGAAAAGTGGACCCTATCTATGTTAAATTGAGGATGCAATTTCAATTCTTACCTTGTGGAGAATACTGGACAAATTGACCCATAGGAACATCTACCACATCTTCGTCCATGTCCACGCCCAACTCCATCTTGACATCCAAACCCTGTGCATAATCGCTTCCTGTATTCGTAAACCCATCGATAATATCGATCTCCGTGCAGCTTTCTGGACTGTCGACCTCGCGTGGTGATTCAACGGGTGTCTCGATTGGACTCAATGGTGGGATTGAATTAGCAATTGAGTTTGGGATTGAGCTAGCAATTGAATTGGCGATTTGGCTGGCAATTCCGTTAGATAGGGCGCCAGATATTCCGGTTGGCGGCATTCCTCCGTGCGTAATTTCGTCTGACAAACCGGCGCTCGATATAGGAGAGGGGGTGAATGCCAGTATAGGAGGAAAATAATAGTAATGGCCTTCTGGCAGTTGGAGGTCGAGAAGAGGATGATAGGGGAGTGGATCTGGAGTGTAGAAAGGGGCGAATTTGTCGGATGGTAAGTGGGAAGGAGCAATGGGAGTGGTGGGAGTGGGAGGAGTGGTGGAAGAAGTGGGAGACGAGGGTGAAAAGGCAGAAGGCGAAAGAGACATTGAAGGAGGAGTAGTGGAACTTGTGGTTGGTGGGGAGTTGTGAGTTATGGTGGAAGCGGGGCTAGAAGTAGGATGGTCGAATGTAAACATAGACATTGTGATTTATGGTTCTTAGAAGTGTTAAAATTTTAATGTAAATTTTTTTTATCGTAGGTTGTTTATATATACGTGTATATATGATATATGATATATGGATATAATCGTTATGAATTACAGTGCTTGGAGTTTTGTCGTTATGTTTTAATTTATTCTTTTCGTATCTTTCCGCTGTGAGGGCAGAACGATTCGGCAGGAGTAATGCAGATGAGGATCTTATAAAGTGTTTGGTGATGACAATAGAAAAGAGGGTGTCAGTTATTTTGGAAAATTTTTTTGATTAGTTTTTCTTGGGGGAATGTTACATGTTACAGTGATACAGTATATTTAGATGTGGAGAGGGGGATACGGAAAATAGTATTGGCTGGCACATATATATATTGTAATTGATTACTATTAGGAAGGCCGTTCCCATTTTAACAACAATAAGCAAAAAAAAAATATAAGCGTACAATTGAGTTGGGGATAATTAAGTATATTCTACTATGTAAATTACAATACACCAATATATGACGTACAAAGCTGTATTTCGATATACACTTGTATTACACTTTAAATACACTTTAATACACTCGTATCAATGTATCGTTTGAGAGATGGTATACGTATTGTACATAACTGTGAGAAGAGAGTGAGACGAGTATGAAATGTTATTGCATATGTATATTTATGTATGTATGTATGATGTATGTGCGTGTGTGTATGTAATGTGTTATGTGATGTGATGTGTGTTATGTGATGTGTACTGTATGTACTGTGTGTACAGTATATAATATCAGATATGTACAGTATTTATGTATTGTATGTATTGTGTGTGTATTGTGTGCATTGTCTATTTCGATTATAAAGTTTGTCATAACCGAAACAGTGAAAATTGACGTCTAGTGGCAATTGCGCCACTAACGTTCATTTGAACGCACAGAGCAGCGCAATCATCACACTGTTTTCATATTCTCGAATTCTATTCACATTACTCTATTCCACAAATCGTCAAAAACGTCCACTGCCGTTGAAATCCAAGGCCCTGATCATCGCTTCCCGTCAGTTGAGAAGGGACATATTAGGATAAGTATACTCATAGCTATTTGTTGTGTAATGCTGTCAATTGTATATAAATATGTTAGCATGTACATGTATTACCACATAAACAATAGCCTTTTTTTTTTACGCTATGCCTCACTTTAAAAATAGAATGTTACTTTTTGATTTGGGGGGTTTTTTTTATACCACATCTTCCAGTTTTAATCACGTGAAATAAAATACTGTAAAAAAAAATTGTGCGACTACCAAACTTTATGTATATTTTACGAATTGTCACCTGTCAATGATACGCATTAACTGGACAGCATGGGCAGCTCATACAAAATACGTTTGAGTAAGAATATCATCTATTGTCTTATCATCACCCATCGTTCATATCATTCTCATCATCGTTACTATTATTTTTGCGTAATTCATATATGAATCTGATAACAAACAAGCACAAAGACCGATTACATACACACAAACATCGAAAAATCCCCAAAAATAAACAAATAAATCCATCTTATCACCTTATGACATCTCTTACACATCGATATCGATATACCAATACGTATGGCTTTTCAATTGCCATATATGACTATTATACCCAGTGAATCATCCCATCATTCTAACTACCATTTATGCTCCTTCCTTCCTTCTATCGTAACTTCCCATTCGTGGCTTACGCGGTAGCTACACCCTACCATAAGCCTGTGTGTGTGTGTGTGTGTGTGTGCTTGCGTGCGTGCTTGACGATCGGACGAAAAAAAAAAAAAGAGAGATTAGATGACAAGAGTTTTCTTTGGGGATGGACGGATAGACGATACAGAGCGGGGAGCGAAAGTGAGTGGAAAGTGAGATGAGTGAGATGAGGGAGTTGAGGGAGATGAGGAAGGTGAGGAAGGTGAGGAAGATGAGGAATGGGGGTCCAAACGGTTTCTGATTTCACAGAGCGGATGAAATACATACTCGGTCCCTATCCCCCCTTCCATGATTAAGATCGAAGACATACAGCCAATGATATCAACGAACATGGAAATATAGATTTACTACTGATTATCATTATTACGTAAAAAATTTAAATTTGCAGACAATAAAGTTAAATCACGTAATGATAAAATTATATTGTCGAGCTGCAGCCAGAAATAAACTATAATAAATTTACCTCCTCCCCCTCACTGTTACCCCCCCACTGCTCTTGTTTCACGTTTACATTGTTACGCAACAACAGTGAAAAAAATTTTTCACTCTTTACTTTTTCTCCACATCCTCTTACAGCATCTTGCATTCTATATACACTGAGCTAAGCCATTACGGGATTAATTACCCATCATTGTCTGAATTGAGGAGAGAAGAAGAAGGAGACGGGGAGGAGGAGGAGGTGAGGGGGGAGAGTGTGTGTGAGAGAGCGAGAAAGAGGAAGAATTTATAGATAGGTATGCAACTGTATGAAATAAAAGAAGAGCGCAACGGAAAACTGATGCAAAAAGTGATATGATAGCGGGATATTAACTTAAAAACCGGGGTAATAACAAATAATTATGTAAGTTCACTTTCGGTTAGTGACTATGATTAGGAGTACATTTGCTAGCAAAGCCACTTAACCATTGTTCTCTTGTGATTGTTGGCCGGTGCCCGTGATTTTAAAAAATATAAGTCTGTTGGTCATATTTGGTAAGGGGCGTCGATATTAAAATGTGATAAAAATGATAATCATATGTGATTGATAGCGGGTGATTATGATCGATAAGTGCAAGTCACGGGAAAATAGTCGGAAGTAAGAGAAAGAAGAACAAGGCCAAGACCAAGACCAAGACCAAGAATGATGATGATAAGAATGAGGAATAACATTATATGCCTAATCACGCGTCTTTATTATTCTTATTCATTCATTGCCATAGCGTATTACATCGTTTACTACTCTGCCCATACTTTTTCTTTCATTTCCTCGACGCCGTTCATTTCTCACATCGTCTTGTCCCTCTTTAAAACATCACATATCCCAGCCTCATGTCAATAAGTCGGAGGCTGTGTCACTGATTCCCAAACATGGCCGCTTGTTCGCAGAGCCCATCGCCAGTCTAACAGATTCTCGATCTTTGGCTTTTCAATGAGGCGTGGATTTGACGGTATGCAAGTGTCGACCTGTCGAAACTGTTGGCTTGCCAGAGGCAGCTACGGAGTAAAAGTTTCGTAAACAAGCAAACGAAAAGTATAAAAGAATCGAAAGAAGAGTGTCTTTGCTAGAAAAAAAAAAGTGGATTTATCCCCTCCCTCACGAAAACAGTGTGCGATCCGGATACGTCAACGGGTTAGATAATAAAGAAACTCCCACACATGCTTAACAGAGCCTCATCCATCTTTGTGCATAACCCGAACTTAATTCCATATTAGTTGTAAGGTTTAACTTCCGCTACAATGCAACCTGATCATTATACGTGGAACACACGTTTTGATTAATTAATCAGCTACTCCGATAACAGTGAAAATAGATCCGGTTTTTTTCTTGTAACGCGGTCATTAACTATCTTATCCCATCGATCGGAGTATTTCCCCATGAATAGAGTTCACGAATATGCAAAGTGCGTAAAAAGCACAAACGACACCGCCGCTTCTTTTTTTTTCTCTTGTTATCCTCACAAAAAAAAAAACAAAAAAACGTACAATCACATCAGCAAAGGAGGGTGTGGGATTCTACCATTGTTCATGCAAGGAGGAAGTTGGGAAGAGCAAGACAATGAACAATATTGTTTATTTGATCTTTGTGATTGATGAATTGAGGTACATTACTGGTGTGTCAAAATAATTAACACATCTTGTCCCGTTCTCCCAATCCCATTCCCGTATTTTCTACCTATCATCACAATAATAACCACCATATGCCCGTTTTGCTTGTTCATGGATCTACTGTACACAATTTCATTTCCACGCACCAATCCGTTTTTCCTTTTCGAACAATAGACTATCGCCAAATAGGGTGGCGCATTCTTTTCATTTGCCAAAGTTAGCTAATTCAGACATTGGCAGCGTAAAAAAGAATTCTGAAGAAAAAAAAAACCATTAAGTGTATCTTTTTGCTTTGCATCTGGGTAACCTTTGACGCCCCACATAGGCGTAATACCTGATCTGCAAGTATAGAATGATCGTCCAGAACAAATGCATCATCACAAAGGAAGAAAGAAGGAGAAGAAGAAGGGGAAAAAAAAAAAAGAAGCATAGCAAAAAAACCCCCCCACCAAACCGTTAGTCAGGATTTCGGGGGTGCTTTTGTGTTCAGAAAGGACTTTCTTTTTCCCTGTTGACGAGCCATGATACGTAACTGTCTGATATTTGAACAATCAAAATTTTTTATATAATGTTTGTTTGGATGACGATCCTGAGAAAAGCTTGGCTAGAAAGAGAAAACCTGTTTTTCGCAAAGCCACTTGCCATATAGTAGAATGACTAGAACAGATATATTCATGAAATAGAAAGAGAGAGGCGGCTTCTTTATACCAAACAAGGGAAATTGGCAAATTCTTTCGCTTGAAACAATAAGAAACATCACCTTTTTGTTTGTCATTAACCTTTCCTCAAATTGGAATTATCGTAAGTGTATGTCAAATGACACAATAAATGCAAGCTGTCATTTCTGCAACCAAATGAAGATAACTATGCCTATTATGGATAATTTAAAAACGAAAGCATCACAATGTCCGGTTTGCTAGGTGGCTGTGTTCTCTCTTTCACATGAGACCGCGATGATGTGATGGTGATGGCGATGGTGATGGTGATGGTGATGATGGTGATGGTGATGATGGTGATGACCCAAGGGTAAGCCCCATGTTATGCAACACAGTGACAAGTATTATTCTCAATTTTTGCAAATTCTATCGCAACTTTAAATTCGTGATCGCCCACAAAAAAAAAGTGTCATCGCTTAACGCATCTATTTCCCCGCATATCTTGTTTACCTCGCCTCACTCGGCCATTTAAGA